CCACAGCCACCGCTTCGCCTCCCCGCTCTCCGGAAACCAGGTACCCGCCGGGACCCCCCGCCTGACCGCGTTCCCCCCCTTGTCAGCCGGGCCCAGCCCCTTTCCCCGGGCACAACCGGGATCCCCCCTTGTCAGCCGGGTCCCCTGAGACCCTGACAGGTTCTCCCTGTCCCTGCCAGTCCTCACTGGGTCCCCCTTGTCCCTGCCAGCCCCATCTTGTTCTGCATGTGCCTACATGATTCTCCATATCCCTGCACCTCCCTGCCAGTCCCTCCCCAGTTGAGACTGGGACCCTCTTGTCCCCCGTGTCCCTACCAGCACTGCCTTGTTCCCTGGTCCCGACCAGGTCCCCTGTGTCTTTGCCAGTCCCACCTTATCCCCCATGTCCCTACCAGGTTCTCCCTGCCCCTACCAGTCCCAAACGGGTCGCCCATGTCCCTACCAGGTCTGTCTTGTCCCTCAGTCCAGACTGGGTCCCCCATGTCCCTGCCAGTTCCACCTTGTTCCCCAGTTCAGACTGGGTCCCCCTTGCACTCCCAGCACTCAAGTCCCAACCAGACCCTCCAAATTCTAACAGAACCCCTGTCCCAACCAGGTCCCTCCTCACCCCACAAGCCCAGACCCTCCCTCTGCCCCCGCTACTTGCTCTCTGGGCCCAACACAACACCCCCCCGCCCTTTCATCCCAGCCCCCAAAACGAGCTCTCTTTCACCCACAGGAGGTGAGCGCGTTCGGGGAGGCCGGCGAGGGCGACTACCTGGACGACTGGACGGTGGTGTGCAGCGGGACCTACTGGGCGCGGGATGGCGAGGTGCGCTTCCAGCACACCTCCACCGACGTCTTCCTCTCGGTGACGGGAGAGCAGTACGGGCGGCCCATCCACGGGCAGAAGGAGGTGCACGGCATGGCCGCCTCCAGCCAGAATAACTACTGGAAGGTGATGGAGGGCATCTTCATGCAGCCCAGCGAGGTCTTCAGAGCGGAGCAGTACCATGCGGAGTTGTGACGGACACACAGACTGCCACCGAGCTGCTGGGCGCTGCCCGGCGGTGTTTGGGGTCACTTCACCCGGGGGGACAGCCCCTGTCCCCACCAGGGTCTGACACACTCCGGGACGCTGAGCCCCAAATCCAACACGAAGCAGATCCCAACGTCCTGAATTCGATGCAGAGCAGATCCCGGTGTCCCAAATCTGACATGAAGCAGATCCCAATGTCCACACCTGACCCAAAGCAGAGCCCAACATCCAAGATCCAGCCCGAAGCAGATCCCCATGCCCTAAATCCAGCCCGAAGCAGATCCCCCATGCCCTAAATCCAGCCCGAAGCAGATCCCCATGCCCTAAGTCCAGCCCGAAGCAGATCCCCATGCCCTAAGTCCAGCCCGAAGCAGATCCCCATGCCCTAAGTCCAGCCCGAAGCAGATCCCCATGCCCTAAGTCCAGCCCGAAGCAGATCCCCATGCCCTAAGTCCAGCCCGAAGCAGATCCCCATGCCCTAAATCCAGCCCGAAGCAGATCCCCATGCCCTAAGTCCAGCCCGAAGCAGATCCTAATGTCCAGACCTGACCCAAAGCCAAGCCTAACACCCAGACCTGACCCAGAGCAGATCCCCAAAATCCCCAACCCTTCCCTGGTTGCTCCCTCCCCTCCCAAGACACC